GAGTCGAGTCACTACCATATAGTGGAAAAGCAGCTTTTGAAGGACAGACGGCCCACGCTGTCTTTAAGGCGCACAACCGGACCTTAAACCCACTGCTGTACCTTTGAGGGAACATGTACATTGTTTGTATCTTGATGAACGAAAACAGAACCTGAACAGAACCTTTATTTCTGACAGTGTACACATTTAGGAACGTGAGAGATGATTGGTTGATGTCAAACTTGCAGTGTTGCCAGTCTTCCAATCAAGACACGGCACAAATTTGTGGCACTATGATCTGACAGTGACCATCATGACCATAACAGCAAACGACACGAGCGACAACGACAAAACCAAAATGCTCCCTTTATAATCAGTGAAGTCGTCTATATCAGCTGCGAGCGGCAGAGCGGCAGGCGCTGTGATGCAATGCGCCATTTCTGACGCCCCGTTTCTATTTTTGATGCTCTGTCATTCCACCTCAAAGTGGAAGAGGAGAAACGTGGATTCTACGACTCTCCCAGTAAACAGTGTGGAGAGAAACACTGGGTGAACACTGTTCTGAGTAACTGATCCACAGGGCTGGACAATCTAAAGATCTAACACTGCGACTGCTACTTAAATTCCAATTATCTTCTATAAATTGAGGTTCAGTCCTGTTTTTCTGGACAAAAAGACCAGAATATCCACCTTTCTCTGTCTTGAGGTTTGACCCCTGAATGTAGTGAGCCAGACTGCCAGTAAGCTGTGGCTGTGATGTCACACGCAGGTTCCCAGAGACTGATCTGACTCATCTACACACGGTTCACAACTCTGTGTTATTGGGTTCAGTTTCCCCCTTAAAACGTGAGACGACACTGTTGATAATGTAGGCTGGACCTGCAGAAACTGCAGATGAAAACTGCCCAATAAAAACGATTAATCTTTCAGCTCTGCTGATTAATAAGGGTAATTAGCTGGTCAGACTCGTGCCTGGTCCAGCTACAGGACTATAAAGTCCGAACCGATGTTGAAAACCTGGGAGACACATAAAGACATTTTGCTCTGATTTTTCTGTCCCTGATCTTCATCATCAGAGTCTCCACATCACACGAGCTGAAACTCCTCACACTCTCAGATTCACACAAACGAGAGAGAGAAATAAGACCAGCGACTCCCGTTTTCTCAGCCTCGCGGAGTTTCTCACCGACTGACGGGACTTCAGATCTGAATAAACACGGCAGGAGCTGCTGCTCTCTCACGCTCTCACTCATTTCTCTCTCACTCACTCTTATTTCTCACTATCTCTCACTCATTTCTCTCTCAATCTCTCTCTTATTTTTCTCCCTCTCTTATTTCTCACTCTCACTTATTTCTCTCTTACACTCCTTTCTTTCTCTCTATCTCTCTCTTATTTTTCACTATCACTTTTATTTCTCTCTCAATCTTATTTCTCTCTCTGACTCTTATTTCTCTATCTCTTATTTCTCACTATCTCTCACTCTTTTTTCTCTCTCAATCTTATTTCTCTCTCTCACTCTTATTTCTCTCTCAATCTCTCTCTTATTTTTCTCCCTCTTATTTCTCACTATCTCTCACTCTTATTTCTCTCTATCTCTCTTATTTCTCACTATCTCTCACTTTTATTTCTCTCTCAATCTTATTTCTCTCTCACACTCTTATTTCTCTCTTTCACTCTCATTTCTTTCTTTCTCACATATTTTTCTCTCTCACTCTTATTTCTCTCTCACACTCCTTTCTGTCTCTCTAACTCTCTCTTATTTCTCACTATCTCTCACTCAATCTTATTTCTCTCTCTCACTCTTATTTCTCTCTCTCTTATTTCTCTCTCTTATTTCTCTCTCTTATTTCTCACTATCTCTCACTCTTATTTCTCTCTTTCACTCTCTTATTTCTTTCTTTCTCACGTATTTTTCTCTCTCACTCTTATTTCTCTCTCTGACTCTCTCTCTTCTTTCTTTCTCTCTTCGACTCTAATTTCTTACTCAGTTTCTCTCTCTACTGTCTGTCTCTTATTTCTAATGTTCTTTCTCTCTCTCTTATGTATTTTTCTCTCCCTCCTCTTGTCATTTCTTACTGTGTCCAACTCTCTCTCTCTGTTTTTCATCTTTCTCTCAGTCTTTCTCTCATTTCTTACTCTTATTTCTATTTCTTTTGCTCTCTTTCACTCCCACTGTCTGTCTCTTTTCTGTCTTTCTATCTCACTTTATCTCTTCTCTTTCTTATTTATTACTCTCTCTCACTTCTGCTCTTTCCCTCAGCCCTACTCTCTCACTCTCTCTCTCTCCCCTCCTCTCTCTCTCACTCTCTCCCCCCTCTCTCTCTCTCTCCCCTTCTCTCTCTCACTCTCTCCCCTCCTCTCTCTCTCCCCTCCTCTCTCTCTCTCTCTCTCTCTGACTCATATTTAATTGTCTTTATAGACATGAACTTTAATTAACAAAGTCCAATCACATCCATACTCTCACATCCTTTACACGTTTACCTCTATATATACCTCTCTCTCCCTCTCTCTCTCTCTCTCTCTCCTCTGTGTAGAACACGTGTTTCTCCTCTAAAATCAGCACCACAGTGCAAATTTATTTCCCTGCACTTCATCTACACACGCTGTCCACTCCTACTGCACTGTTAACACACGACCGACATCAATGGCCACTGACTGCTACCATCATTTACTCCTCCCTATGCTTATAAAGGAGAAGTCCACCATCCATCCATCCATCATCTAACCGCTTATCCCTCTGGGTCGCGGCGGTGAGAAGTCCACCCATTTCTGAAAATTTATTTATCATTTAATTGTTCGTTTTAGAGAAGCTTACTGATTTCTTTACAGTGGTGGGGTTAGCCATGTTATTTACCATCCAGAACCACCAGTGAACCTACACGAGTCTTCTGAGTTTATATGGAATGTTGATGATGGAAAAATAGTGGAAAATCTGAAATAATATGTTTTCTTTGGGGACTATTTTGCCTCACAACACCCTGCATGTATCCCTCCACCATGAATGGGGTTTTTAAAATGAAGTTTTAGACCAAAACCTTCAACTCAAAACTATCCTAAAACAGTGTCTCAGTCATCAGGCAGTGAATTCATAACCATTTCATGTAGGAACTTTCTGTGAGGGAGCTTTTAGAGGTGGACGTCTGGTTCCTATCACCACCACTGTGAACAATTCTGACTTGGTAAGTTTCTCTAGAACAGAGTGTTTCACACCAAACCGCTCTGAATGACTCTGTTTACATCTTAACTGTTGGTGGAGTTTCCCTTTAACGTGCCATGACGCCCAGTCTGCGTGTGCACTGCCTTATTTTCCTAGAAGGCTGCCTTTAACCCATTGTCGTCCATTTCTGAAATGTCAAATTTCACTTCGGTCCGTGTGCTCAGAGCGTACGGCCGACAAAGTGAGTTTTCATTTTCATTCGCCTGATTTATCGTTAAATTCTGCAGTTTGATCTTGATTGTGAGTAAAAGTAGAAAAACTGCATGCAGTCAGAATTTCACTACTTTACACCAATCAGAGAAAGGCATGGCGTTTTCAATCATCATACTGAATTGACGCTGGACATGAATGAGTTAAAATTTCATGCATGAAATGGTGCACATAGTCATCCCACAGGAGATCATATCCTACACAAAACACACGTAGCCAGTGTAGCATGTCTGTGAGTCTGTGTAGTGCAGAAATATATGCTTATATTAAAAGGGGAATCCCACCTAACTTTTGAAAATTGCTGCATAATTAAATGGTTAAGGTGTAAACAGAGTCGTTCAGAGTGGTTTGGTGTGAAACACTCTGTTCTAGAGAAACTTACTGAGTCAGAGCTGTTCACAGTGGTTGTAATAGGAACCAGACGTCCACCTCTAAAAGCTCCCTCACAGAAAGTTCCTACATGAAATGGTTATGAATTCACTGCCTGATGACTGAGACACTGTTTACGATAATGCTGAGAAAATTTTGGCCTTAAACTCCAATCATGGTGGAGGGATACAATGAGAAAACTTATTATTATTTCAGATTTTCCACTATTTTCCATCATCAACATTACATATAAACTCAGAAGGCTCTTCTAGGTTCACTGGTGGTTTTGGATAGTAAATAAAATGTCTATATCTGTGTTGTAGTCATGGAGACCCCTGGTTCCTATCACCACCACTGTAAAGACATCTGAACCATTTCACACCAAACCACTCTGAATCACTCTGTTTACATCTCACACACTGAATTATGTGGAAAATTTGGTTCCCCTTTAAATCAAGCAGGACCAGTGCAATGTGTGCAAACGTGACAGCGTGTTTGAGTGGACGCCGCACCCGCCGCGTGAGCCGAATGTGCGTATTAAAAGCTGCACCCTTTAAGGAAATCTGATATATGACAATATATGGGTTTCAACAAGCATATATTGATTTTCCTTACATCCAACTTATATTTCTCACACATGGACTCAAATATAGGTGACATATATGTTTATAACTTATTTGAAACTGGTCATTTTCAAATATGAGACACATATATTAACATATACATAGAAAACACTATTCATATGTTGATGCCATATGTTAGTCATACATGCTACATAATTTTATAAGGTTTTTATGCATCTGCTTTGCTGCTATTCAACTAAACTCTATTCACTGTCACAGTAAGCTGTGCAATGGAATCATTCAAACATGAAATAAACGAAAATATTGTTCGCTGACACACTTAAATAGATTATGCATGCATGTTCATTATTTAATACTTAATACTTGCACGTCTATTTTGAAATGTATGCCTGACCCTTCATCATTGAGGTCCATATATGGCCCTATATCAGATTTCTGAATAGGCAGAGTTGCTGTAAACGCTGTAAATACATAAAGCAGAGCTGTAAAACTGTACAGGCTGTGAAGGCAGCACGCAATGCTATTGCAATGGCACCGTGCTGGTGGTGTGTGGAGGTAAACTAAACGGTGTGCACGCTCGGATGGACGGATTCACAGAGAAACACGCCACTGCACGCGCCCAGAAAGGTGAGGGGGGTACCTGTTGGGTCCTGGGGCAGCTCCTGGGGCCGGCCCCCCGCCCGGTGCACCGTTGCTCGGCTTGTTGAACTGTCCAGCGCCCGGCGCTGCTGAAACGGAGCCCGGAGCCTCGCCCTCTCCCTCCAGGCTCGCCTCGTTACCCATCGCGCCGTGGGGGGAAAGAACAGAGGAGGGAGAGAGAGAGAGAACAAAAAGAGAGGGAAAAGAAGGGAGACGAGCGGTGCGGCTGCGGAAAATAAAAGAAATAAAAGTCCTAGAGAGAAAGAGAGAGAGAGAGAGGAGCTCAGCGCCGCTCCGTTTCCGCCATCACTCGCCTACAATCCAGCGACCTGCTGGCCAAATGCGCATGCGCCGCACCGAGTCGGCTCGCCCCGAATCGGTTCTCGGTCAACGAACCGCGCGAATCGAGTCACAACTGAATCGAGAGTCGGCGTACAGTTCAAATGAGGGGTTTTCACAGCCGAGTGAAATATTATAACACAGAATGCGGCGCTACAACCTAAGAACATGTTTAAATGTTTGTTTTCATATATTCTGACAGCGCTGAGGTGTTTTAAGGTGGCTTAATTCCATGTTAGTGAACGTTAGCATCAGTTCAGTTCAGCGTTATTCGGATTAAATAAATTGTTGAACGATTTCGTTTCCTAGACGCTTCATTTCTGCTCACGAATGATTTTTTTCCTCAGTCTTTCACATTTTAATCGTAAAAACTCATTCAGTAAATTAAATTCGTATCATTAAGTACCACACTGTAACACACTGAAGGACAACTCCGTTGAATTTGCTCCAATTTTCTCTCCACGCACCGCAGCTGACCGAGCGTTCGTGTCTGTGCACCACTTTTCATCCGCTGAACCTCACTGTGTGTGGAGGGGATGACTCGACTCGTGAATCAGCGATTCGTTGAGTCGGGCGTTCGACTCATTTAAATGGGCAGTTCGTAAGAATCGGTTCGGTGGATTGAATCAAATTTCCCATCACTAGCACGGGCACACGCACGAGAGGGAGGGGGGTAATGAGAGAAGGAGGGGGTAAGAGGAGCAGGAAACAGGGTAAAAAGAGAATAGGGAGGGGTAAAAGAAGGAGGAGGAGGGTAAAAAGAGAACAGGGAGGGTAAAAGGGGGAGAAGGAGGGTAAAAAGAGAATGGGGAGGGGTAAAAGGAGAAGAAGGAGGGTGAAAAGAGAATTGGGAAGGGTAAAAGGAGGAGGGTGAAAAAAGAATGGGGAGGGGTAAAAGGAGGAGGGAGAGGGTAGAAAGAAAATGGGGAAGGGTAAAAGGTGGAGGAGGAGGGTAAAAAAGAATGGGGAGGGGTTAAAGGAGGAGAAGAGGGTAAAAAAGAGAATGGAGTAAAAGGAGGAGAGGCAGAGTAAAAAGAGAATGGGGAGGGGTAAAAGGAGGAGAAGAGGGTAAAAAGAGAATGGGGAGGGGTAAAAAGTGGAGGAGGAGGGTAAAAAAGAATGGGGAGGGGTTAAAGGAGGAGAAGAGAGTAAAAAGAGATGGGGTAGGAGATGATAAGGGGGAGGGGTAAAGTGAGAAGGAGGGGTGGTAAAGGAGAAGGAGGGGTAAAAGGAGAAGGGTATAGGAGAATGGGAGTAAAAGGCAAAAGAGGAGGGGTAAGAGGAGGAGGAGGAGGGGTAAAATAAGAAGGAAGAGTAAAAGGAGGAGACATGAGGTAACAGAAGGCATATGGGAGGTGGTACATTTTAAAGGAAAAAATGGAGCAAAAGGAGGAGGAGGGGGTAAACAGAGGAGAAGGGGTAATAGAAGAAGGGGTAAAACAAAGAGGAGGAGCAGAAGGAGGAGGAAGAGGGGCAAAAGGAGGAAGAGCAGTCGTGATGAATTTTTACATACTATTTTCCATTTTTCTCTTTTTCCCTAAATTGAACAGCTTGTTTTTGTCCCTGTGCCTTTAAGACTGACATATGTAAATGAGCTCTGTTCTGATTGGCTGCCCTGTAGAGTGCTTCTTTCAGAAAGCAGTCTGGGCTGAAAACACAATAGCATTCAGTTCAGCTTGAATAGGCGGGGCTAAACTGCTGCAGTCTGTATGGTCAATCACAAGCAAATATGTTCGTGGTTGTGACATCACAACCACACTGAACTCAAAACGGGCCTTTCCGTACAGGGACTGGGGAGCGAATGGTGTGTTTTGAAGCTTTAAGGAGGTTTCCAAAGTACATCAAAGTCTAATTTAAAAACAGTTGAGGATGATATGAGCCCTTTAATGTAAACGTTCCTCTCCCACAGGCCTCGTTGCTGGTTTATTAATGCGGCGCTGTGGAACGCTGTCAGGCCGAGTGCGCGTGCAGCGCGTTACGAACTCTCTCTCTGCTTTTATCGCGGGTTGGTTGAGGTGGGCTGGGACTGCAGTGATGCTATATGAAGTACGAAAGGCCTTTGTTGCTCCAAAAACTCTTTGATGTCAAACATTAACATGCTTTACCCACAGCACCTGCAGAGAGACGGAGAGGAGCCTTTATTGTGATGCCAAGAGAGAGAG